GGAGTATTAAAAACTAATAAAACAAAGCCGTTGTTGCATTAATCATCACCCTCAGCGAGGTACTGCACCAAATCCACTCCCTAATAAAATCTAATACACACAAACAAATGCTTTTTCTTTTGGTAGGATGCAATGAGAAGCAAATATAGAACCTAAATTTAGTTCCGATTTCTATGCGTCTGTTGATATTTTATCACACATCTTGGCAAGAATCGAATAGAATGGATTTTTTTCACATCATTATAAATACATAATTATGTAATAAGTATTAATTTGTTGCTTCTTGCTTGTAATACACCTCCTTTGCACTTGAACTCAATATAAAAAAAAATTAAGCTGTAAATCATCCTGGATATTGGTTAATGTAGAATCCTGGATATCTAGTCAATGGTAGAATCAGAAACTAAAGATAGAAAATTACACTACAGTATAAGACAAGTTTAGTGCAAAAAAGAACAGACATTTTCCTGGACAGACATGACTCCTGCAGACACAATAGCAGAGTTAAGGATAATATAAAGTAGTAGCATCATCCACCCTCCAGGAGAGACACGGCAATGTTGTTCTGTTGGGCACCCACAGTGACCAGAGGAAAAAAAAATGAATATCCAAATGCCTCTGAACCCAACACTTTCATGTGGGAAGGCTGAAGCCGAAAAGCACACAAATGGCCAACTTCTCCTAATCCCAGTGTTATCAAGTGGCCAAAATAATCAAATCCCCTGATGTCAGTACCATTCAGATCAAATCAATGTGTTTGGCTGAAAAGACAGTAAAACAATTTTTCTTGTTTTTTTTTCCTACGGTACAGCCAGATTGAGGTGCTGCCCATTAATTGATCATTCCCATGCAAAAATAAAAACATCTTAAATAGGGTGTCAAGGTAGCTACAATTTTTTCTTTATTCCTAACCTTAACCAATGAACCAGGAGCAATAAAGCAAAATCTCATCAGGAAACCATTCAAATGTATCAGAGTAAGTTGAGGACAACAATAACTTTATGAAGGAAATGTAAAATGTATCAGGCTGTTTTAACCTTATTAACTTTTTTTGCTTTGCAATAGACTTGTCTTTGCATTTTGTTAACACAATGCTTATATCAATGCAGGTTATGTTTTTACTTTTACATATTTTAAATAAATAAAAGGAATGTAACCTAAAATGACTTGGGGTAAAGATGTTTTATCAAAAACCGGTAGCTTAAAAACAAGGAAAGGGAGGATATGTGATACTATTTAATGTACTGTATCTACATGCTCTCCATATAGCGAGTACTCCCTAAGAAAGCTACAAAATGAAGACAGTTGTTTGCAATTAATAGTCCCCAACTTCTGTACCTTTTTTTTTAAACTTTCCCAACATTACACAGGAGGAACACAATTGTATGATTAACACATAAAATAGAACTTTGACCCAAATTCCACAACCTGCACTACGAGCAAAGCAGGGATACAGTCATTAAGCTAGGCACACCCCTCAGTATTCTTTCCCAGGAGCTTAAATTAACTCTAAGCGAGCAATGTTCATATACAGCATTTTCATGACAAGCACAAGGCATTTATGATAGAAAATCCTGACAATCGGCCAAAGATCTGATGACATCGTCATCAGTGTGCAATTTCAAGTGTTAACATTAACCAAGATAAGTTAAAACAAGGTGTGACAAATCCAAACGTACTAGGGCAGCCTCCAGGTCTGCACACACTCGTCTCACAATGGCAACAAGAAGAGGAAAGTTTCATTTTTTACCTTTTTAGGCCAAAACCAGCAAACAAAAAGTCAGCACAAGGCAAACAGACCCTGTTTTTGAGCAAACATGAACTTAATTACATCCATGTGAATATGTGCATTCCTAAACCCTTTACCAGCTATCTAATAATTACTTAATTAATCCCCACTGTGGGTATTTAAAAGGAGTTTAGAGGCTATGTAGTAGCCTTTACTAGTAGGTCAGTGGTAATTACTACAACTTTACCACAATTGGCCAGCCACACAAGGTTATAGGGCATTTGACATGAAAGAGTCATATCATTTATATATTTGTAAATACTGAAGCTGATTGCACAGACAAAGCAATCTTGGCTAACAGCACCCAGTACAAAACACTGAGTGGTGTTCTTCTGCACTTTGTTTATCAAAGTCGCCCCATCATTTACAGCTGTGTTGTTTTTTTCCAAAGAGGCAGGAAATACAGGCCATTTTAAACTATTTAACTAAAGCACGAGACTTTATTGTGATGGTCTTAACTTGGAAGTACAGTAGTTATGAAATGTGAAAAAAATGAGGTGAGATTGGTTGCTATTAGTTGACAAGATGAATTCCTTATGTTAATATATGTCACTCTTGTTCTACTGGGCTGGCTCAGTTATGTAGATATGGAGAATGGTACACAAAAACGTACAGGAATTTCAAAAGAAAACATGCAAATCTAGGCCAGTTCTGAGTTTTATATAAACTTAAATAAATATTTAATACTTAAATAAATATTTATATAAAGCCTTAAATAAAAAATAAACTATTAAAATGAGAATGAAAATTTAACAATAACATTTAGAAAAATAGTACCCCCATGACATGAATCATGTTGTTTCTGAAAGTAGGCTATTACAATTCAAATTTCCTCCTTTCAGTGAACAGTTTGAAGATGTGTTTCCAAACCCCAAGGCACAGTTTCTATTGCCTGTCAATTCAGAAACACCAAAATGTTTTTAACAGCAATACAATTAAATGTCTAAAACATTCTCTATTACTCTGAAAAGTTTTTGCCAAGACCGTTATGTTCTTCATTGTGGTACTGTATGTAATAATTATAGTTTATAGCAAGTAAAGGTTTATCCCATGTTGAAAAGAGAAGAAAAGAAACAAAGTATTGGCAGACACACGGAGGAGTCTCCACACTGAAACACTGTGTTTTTCTTCTCTTTTCAGCATGGAATAAACCTTTACTTGTTCCTTTGCAGCCTACTTACACTGACGCAGCTCCCTACTTGAAATAATTACAATTAACAGCATTTGGATATAGTTATTCATCCTAAAGCATCCCAAAGCACTTTTACTATATGAAAGAAACCACTTTACCCACCACTGAAGTGCAGTCTTACCCACATACTTGGTAATTCCAGGGTATTCCAATCGCCTGCAGCCACACTACACAAAACTACTATGCAGTTTAAATTAAGGAGATTGTTCAAGGAGAGTGTAATTTAGCCAAGACACAGGGGATAACAGCCTTACCCTTGAAATGCCATGGGATTAATTAATCACAGTTGTGAGAAAAATGCTATTAATTTGTGTAAACCTGTCCAACAACCATGAAGAATTTAAGCATCACAAGAAAGGTTTTACAAAGGGCAAAATAAATATTACATTTCTGTACCATAAATCTCTTACATTACAAAATCCTTTCCAAATCAAACAGTAATAATAACAAGTTTAATTATTTTGCAATGCCTCACACATTGAAACACAGTACATATTCTAGGACATTGAGACAAAAAGAAGCCATTGCAAACTTACAAATCTTACCAGAATTGTGAAATGGTTAATAGCAGCTTACCAATGGTTACAATTTCAGCAACATTGCTTCCTGCAAATCCAGATTTTTTTTATACCTACATTTACTTTAAGTACTCTATCTATATGGAAAAAGGCCAATGCAGTCTGAAAACAGTTGTAGATGTTGCTATATGACTCACCTTTTCAGCATATTTTACATGGACAAATCTTTTAACTCTTAAAACATTCTGGCAAAACCCATATACTATAATAATTCTAAAGATGTCAAACAGAGCATAAACATATTTCGCTCTGCATTCACATATATACAACAGAAAATAATATATGGGTCAAAAGAAAAACAATAATAAGGGTTATACAGAGAGAACAAAGACAACTTGTAAAAACAGTATTTATCAGCTGGTGGAAAGGTTTTTTTTTTCTCTTTTGAGAACTACAGGAGTGTTAAGCAGATGTTTAGGAAAAAAGCCTTCAACTTGTCAAAAACATATTCACAGCATCTCAGATCACACCACTCTATCCAGAGGTGATGACAGTTTTATACTACTAATATTGCCGAAGCAGAAATAGCGCCAGTGGCTAATACCATATTGGAATATATCTAGGATGAAATTACCTTTGTCTTATACATAAAAAACATTTTTGTCAATGTCTTATGAAATGAAATCTCAAAAACCTACAGTTTGGTTAGGATGCAAATTTAGGTAGCGCATTAGCTTTTGCCCAAAATCAATATGTAACATTTTAACTTTGTGCAGTAGGGCAGTTTTTATTTACAGTTGAGGATTTTGAACAATCACTTTATTATCATTTTATTAGACCATGTGACATACACCTGTCTTATTAGGGCACCGTGTCTCTTCTGCATAAATGCTTACATTTCTTCCACTATTCATTAATCTGGGCAAGTTACCTGCTTCAAGGAGTATCACCTCATCATTTCATTGCTCTTGACTTAAGATGAACATGACATCACCTCAAATCTAAGCACTTATTTCACAAGACATTACCAATTCCAAGTAAACCTGATTGCAAAATTTCAGTTGCAATGTAACCAAGGTTTTGCTTTGTGAAAACTAAATGTAAATAAAAAGCAGTATGCACTTCCACTCATGCTTGAGGCTATAATGGTGTAGTCCGGGCTTCCTTCACTCTGTAATTATCACACCGTTGTTGTTGGACTGCTGCGGCACCTGTAAGGCAATGGCATGCAAGCTGCTTTTCCCCTTTAATCTTTAAAATGAGAAGCTTTGGGCCTAATGCAGCCAGAGTGTTTGGCTCCTCTAAAATTGAAAGATATTGTCAATTTAAAAAGGAAAGGCCCAATTATACAAAGGCAATGGAAAAACAGCTTCATACCTGTAACATACATTAAAAGGTGACAGAGAAATGTAGATTGAGGTCACAGATAGCAAAAGCTGCTAATACTCTCCCTCACACACACACAGCCAGAACTTAATTCAACAAATGAAGAGTAGGTGCCTTTAACAGAATGTTCTTTATTGTTAGCAAACATTTTGACCACTGCAGGTCTTTATTCTATCTAGATCATGTTACTTCACAAGTCAATTTGGATGGAATGGATTGTTTCAGAGACTCCGAGCACAACCTAACCTGCACAATGAAACATGCATGCATTTTATTAATGTAATATTAAAGACACTTCATTGCGGGAGCAAAACTTCCAATTACAGAAGAGAAGAAACTTCACAAATGGAAAACACACAACGTTACAGAATGCACGATAATAAAGTGAAAGAATTTGAATGCGTACACAGCTAAGACTTAAAGTGACATACCCGAAGTACCTAAATTAACTGTACTGGAGATACACTTCAATTGCACCGGCTCACACTTTCTTAAAAGGGTTGGCTATGTTAATAATTATCAAGGGACAAAAAAGCAGGAGAAGGTCTGGTTCTGTATAAGTTAACTTTTTTAAGTCTAACAATGTTGTTATCCTGTCCATTATCCTGACTTATGCACTAATACCACTGCTACTGTAAGTACTACTACTACTACAAATGGCAGAAAAGTCATGGGCAGCGTTAACATTAAACACCATTCAAGCCTGGGAATGTAGTTACACCAACTAAATACAAGACCACAAAACCAGCAATCCAGAAGAAAAAAAATCAGATTCACATTTGATAACCACAATAGTCATATTCCTGTTCCTATGGAGATGCAGTAGAAGGTTTCACATTTTTTGTGACAAGGAATGGACAGAGGTCATATTGGAGTTTCAGTGTAATACATTGTATCTACAAATTAATATATATATTTATGTTGTAAACTCCCTTACAGTATCATTATTTTTAAATAAAAAACATTTATAAATCACGTACATATGTATAAAGAAACTAATAAATAAAAATGTACACAACATTACAATACACAAAACTCTTACTCCATCATATGCATAATTCCATCAATCAATACTGTAGGAAATTAGAGGCTCACTATCCACTGTGTTTGTACTATTAAGATGTCTGGCCATTTTTAGATAAGGTAAATACACTGCTTATTGTAAGTATATTACTAGAATATTTGATCTTTTAGCTTTTCTTTTTTTCTTAGTCAATACAGTCTTTCAAAATGCATTTTGCCATTTGTTTTTCTTGCATTCTCTTCTCTTCACTCTTTGAGAGTGAATGTCCGATATATTTTGAAGAATTCTCTCTGATGACGGCAACAAATTCTTTATATGTCTGGAACGCAATGTATCACATATAACAGAACCAAGGATTCCAAAATGACATGTAGCAAAAGAAACATGCACTTATTACCACACTGATCAAGAACACAGATCATTTCCTCTACATTGCAAAAAGAAATCCCAAAAGCTCAAAGGACGTGTTTTTTCAGACAGAGAGACAAGATAGGAGAAATACAATATTGGCAGTCTACAAACACTGGACTGTACTTAAAATGCAGTCAAACAGTGGCAGTGAGATTATTAAAGTGCAGTATTTGTCTTTTCAGAAACATGGTGTCCCATTTAAGCCACAGGTCCTCAAAACAATTAGCAAATATATAAATATATGAAATTCTGCACATTTGTTCTATTGCACATAGTGGCAAAACTTTGGTACAACTGGTAAAAGCTGAGCTCAATCTAAAACATGATCATGTTACACTGTCATAAACCGCAGCTTAAACTAGAAGGGTACGCTAAAGCAGCAAGATGCAAAGGCAAGAAAGCACAAAACATGCACACACATTGATAAGTGTGGCAAAGCAGTGACAGGAAAGCATGTTTACAAAAGCTGAAAAAAAGCAGATTCACAGATCAAGCATGGGGTGATGAACAGTGCAAAAACACACTGCAAACTTCCGTGAGACTTACAAACACCAGCTCTCTGTTAGTTCACAGCCAGGCCTTATCAGCATTGCAGACTTCAGTAAATTCTACTATTTCCACAAATGAGGAAATAAAAAAAACAGAAGGGATTATAATTGTGTCATATACATCTGAAAGTAGTTTGACTTAAGTTAGAGAGCAGGATAGGGGTGCTTTTCACAAAATCAGATCCGGTACATAGAGAACTTTAGAATCCAAGAGGTATTCAACAAAACACGAAACAGGTGGCTTTGTAATCAAAGCTCATAAGGACATGTGTATGTGTTGGAAACTGAACACACTAATCTAAATTCAATCCAGATCCAAATTACTTCAGACTGACAGCTCCAGAGGGGTCTTGTGCAACAACAATGAGACACCAGAACTTTAATCCAAACGCAGAAGGTGAAGGTGGGGACATGATTGTAAACGCCACGCTGGTAAACACAGTTCCTGCATTGTTTTACTAGTGTTTGAATATTCTCACACTGCCGATTTGTCCATGTTCCTAGAAAGGTGGCTGAGGAGACATTTCTGAAAGTCCTGATCTGACGCCTCTGGAACCAGAAACTCCAGCAGGAGATCCCAGACACAGTAAACCAGATGCCTGCACAGAAATAGAAGATATGTCAATCAATACGCCCATGGCTAAGGACCATCGCACAAACACTTCCAACTTCAAAGGCACTTCTGTACACTGAAGGACAGCAATTGCTCAAGTTACACAATAAACCCATCTTCCCCAGAAGTTACAGGATCTATTAAAATTCACTTCTGGCAAACCTCTGAGTTCAAATGTGTTGACTGTGCTTGCCATTCTCTAATACTGCACGTACAAACACCAAGTTACTGCTTTAAAGCGCAATGTATAAAAAGGCAAAACCTCTATTTTTTATCGGAGCGGAGCGGTTGCACTGTGGCTAAGGATCTGCGCCTGTGGCTGGAAGGTTAGGGGTTCAAATCCCGCAGCCGGCAGAGGAATCCTACTCTGTTGGGCCCCTGAGCAAGGCCCTTAACTCCAACTGCTCCAGGGGCGCTGTACGAGGGCTGACCCTGCGCTCTGACCCCAAACTTCTCTCCCTGTCTGTGTGTCTCATGGAGAGCAAGCTGGGGTATGAGAAAAGATGAATTCCTAATGCAAGAAATTGTATATGGCCAATAAAGTGATCTTATCTCATCTCTTATTATCTTATCTGTGTGTCAATACTTTAAAAAAGAAATGAGAATGTAATATGTTCCCAAAAATATTAAATAAACCAGAGATGCAATATGATAACATCTTTTCCTTAAATTATTCACTTTAAGCAAATGAGCTTGCCAATGTAGTCCAGAGCCAAATGTGGCAAATAGAAACAAACAAATAACAACAATAATTTATATTGTTTTTTTTTCTTAGGGCAACAGCTGGAACAAACAGGATGTGACAAGGACTGATTTTCAAAGAACATACAAACCAAAGGCCACACAACGTGGTCAGACAAGAGATTCGATCTTTCATCAATCAGGAACCTCTGAGTGTGTGACACACGCAGCCCACACAGGCAGCATGCAAGGTCACTGTACCAAGAGCCTGGGATCCCACTGCGTGAGACTTAGGAAGCAACACCACCAACAAGATAAACGGACAGAACCTTTCCTATGTGCTTATATATGTCTTGATAATAGTCTCATTTTACAATCATTTGTCAAAGACTCAAGTGTGATTACATTATGATGTCAATGCTTTACCAGTTCAAGCACAAATATATTCAGCAATTCTGAACATTCCTCCTTCAGGTCAGACCTGATGTCCTTGTCTTTGTTTCAAAAAGAAACAACTGCCCCATATGGGGTTCTCAGTTTTGAAATGTTTTCCAAGGTAAGCAGTAAAGGCAATTTGTATGTAATGTTAAGATTGCTCTTGAATTGTAACATAATGTCAGGATTATATGAAATCAAGTGTATTCTTGCTTTCTGATAAGTAAAAATTAACACATGGGTATATTTTGAGCATAGTACGGAAACATCTGAGAACAGAACAATGTGCTGTGCACTTTCCTCATAGCACTTATGGTTATTTTCGTGAATTAACACTAATCACATTCCAGTTGAAACCTGTTCATAGAGGATCACTTTGGGTTCTCAGCATAAAAACCTTTTAGCTTTTAACAAAAGAAGAATGATGACCAAAGATGTGAAATCCAACCCCTTTGGTGAATCACACATTTTAAATTGTTTCTCAGTTCCTGTTTGTCACAAATTATAAGTTTGTGTGAGATCTGCATAAACAATTTTATGTTTTTGATGCTTTAGACCTATGACAGAGTTAATTTGCCCAGGTGAAAATAACATGTAGAATTAAAATTGTCTAGCTATTTCAAACGTGCCCATTTTCCATCACCCAACAGAAACATGAACTATGAACAGGTCAAAGACAAGAATTCAATAGAACTAATCTCTGTAAGAGAATTCTCATAAGCAGAGTGGTGTTTAACATACAGCTGGGTGACAAAAAATGGGAACATCTGGCTAATGAAGGACACTAATACTGAAAACAAAGGCTTCCACAGATGTGGGTTTCATGCGTTAATTAAGCAAACAACATCCCAGTATGCTTAGTGTATGGAGAACTGTATGGAGAGACTCCAGGGACTTTGAAAATGGGGTGATGGTTGAGTTGCGTTTGGCAGGAGTTTCAGTGATCAGGAAATGTTAGCTGGGTAGGTGAATCATCTTTCATCACAGTCTTGACAAACAGATGAGTACGTGTGTGGTACCTGCCTAAAGAACCTGACATCCTCGAGTGCGCTGATTGTTTCTGTGGGGCACATATTCCTAGTGTGGTTTAAGTGCGCTTATTTCCATGGAAAGCAAGGTCAGTGCTAATCACCGCTTCATGGTCCTGAGTGATTATCTTCACCCCACATTGCAGCATTTCTTTCCTGCTTTGAGTGGTGTCTCCAAGGATGACAATGGCAACATCCTCCTAGAATGTGTGGGAACCCCGTGGTTTGATGAGAGTGACAGTAATGTCATCCTTATGTCGTGGTCTTCCCAGTCACCAGGTCTGGAGGCAACCAAGCATTTATGGGATATTCTGGAACAACACCCGAGAAAGCTTCTCCCATCTCCATTAGCCTGAGTTTTTGGCTTTCCTCATGAAAAAAGTGTGCCATAACCCTCCTACAATGCCAGACACTGGTACACTATACAGTACGTCACAGTGCATACTGGCCATACTGGCCTTACGTGATGGCCCAACTCCCCATTAAATGACTTTAATTCCATCTTTTAGTCCACTACTTGCAAATCTTTGCTAGCAGCAGGGAATCATAGGCAGTGCAGCGAATATTATACTACCACCCATTAACTAACAATTAAATATTTTGCAACACCTTATTAATCACTTCATCAGTACAGCTGGAGTAAAAAAAACACAACAAAAATAAAATAATAAAAGGTTTTTTGGGCTTGGAATAGTCGTTGACTAAGTGGTGTAGTGTGGGTATGTGTGGCAGGCGTCTGGAAAATGTGTCTCCCACCTGTTAATGTAGGGATCCTGCAGCGACTCCAAAACCACTTTCCAGCTCAGTTTGTATTTCTCAGAACCCAGCATATCTGCAGACAAGACAGAGAGCAGCGTGAGCAACTGGACACCTTATCCACTCTACGTGCCCTCATTAAATGTTGTAATTTTCCATTAGGGCCCCGGTTATGAACTCTACTTACAGTAGCTGCATTTAATTGTAACACAACAAAAATTTGCAGGATACCTTATTGCAAAGATTTACACCCACCCTACAAAGAAGAAAAGAAGAAACACAACATATCAGCTGTGGAGCCTGAGCCCCTAACACCTGAAGGTGGCTCAAGATCCGATACAAATTGTTGTGTTTTGTTCTTCTACTTCTCAGTAGATGTAACGTGACTTCTTCCTTTGCAGCCAACACGTCCTGATGGGGTCTCCTATCATACCATTTTGCAAGGGTGGAATAAACAATAAAAATGACTGCAAAACCTGCAGACTGACATAGTGATATCATATGGGATGTGTGTATCAGGGAGTCAGTTGCTCCAAGGTTCCTACAGCTGTGGTTGCTGAGCAACAGATATCTCTCAGCAACACGAGCTCCGCCCCCCCCGACAAACACACCCCATATTATATCTCAATATTATGTCAAAATAAGCATTAAAGTAGACCTCCTAATGATCACCATGTAAGGAATTTCTTTAGTATTTTCCAGTGAGTATCATAAAATACTCAACACATCTTTGCAGACTTCATCAATAAAATGTCCAGTGTACAAATCAACCGCATCTGTATATTCTACATTTGTTTTAAAAGAAAGAATGGAGGCAAAAGTTAACTCAAAACCTTTCTGTTTCCCTTTTGCGTCCACTTTGAATCTGATGCATTATTTAGGTGAACATTTCAGTCTGGACTCATTTCAGACCTCCCTCTGTTGTTTCTGAATGTATCAGAAGCTCCAATTTGACTGACCTATTGATCTCTTTACATGACAGTAATGCTATGCAATACACTGAATGGGCAAAGCAGTTTAAGATAGCCATGTGGGTGGCCATTGGAGATAAATGAACCTGGATGAACCAAATGACATCGAACACCTCACTTTCAACATATGCAACAAAGCAGTGGGAAATTCTAGCAGCTTTTAAACGGAAAAATGCTAGCCTGACATTTTTCTACATCTAGTCGAGAGATTCTACACAATTTAAGGAAAGACACAAAACAGTAGCCTAAGACAAATTCCACCGTAAGAATAAAACAAAAGATTGGCCTGACAAACCAAACTGAGCTTGAACAGGAAAATAAGCACACTCCCCAGATGAATGCACTCACCAGGCAGGAGACTCATGAGGCACTGAAGAGACTCCTTCTTCGCCTCCTCCTTCTGCTCTGCGGTGCGGACAGGTCTGGGCCTGACTGGCAGGCAGCCCCCAGGCCAGATAGCTTCCTGCAGAAGTCGGAGGTAGATCACCCAGTACTGGGTGCAGGTGAAGTTGGTGAAATGTACATCCAGCCACCTAAAGACCGCATCAAACAAACAGAAGATGAGAAAAATGAAAGGGCAAATTTATTTCCCCCAGAAATAAAAAAAAGTTTACTAATATTAATATCAAAAGTCATTCACACAATTGTTACACCTTAGCTGTTCCATAAATGCCAGTTAGAAAGAATGCACATCGACAATAAAGAACTGTGAGAATATGTTTATGTATTACACTTGTTTTATTACTGGTATTGATATTATTCCTTACATTACTTCACAGGGAAGATATGTAACAGTTTGCTTATAAAATGGTAAATTTGACTTCAGATTATAGACAGTTCGGAATACTTTTAAACCACTTTGAGGTGATTACCAAGAAGTTCTCTAAAAGTTAAAAGAAAAGGTACAGGCTTTCCTTTCAAGAAAATTGTGAAATGTTCCAAAGACATAATTTAAAATAAGGATTGGAGAAGTCAAAGTGAAATACTGCTTGTTTGCGCAGTACCTAACAACTTCAAAATTCAGAAAAAATGAATTATAAAGTGCACCTAGTGAAAACAAAGTGACACTGAACGTTGACATATAACGTTAAGTGGCACTAGAAATGCTCAGTTTCTGATCTGATACCTCACAACCTTGGGGAATGTCTGATTTGATCCCTGACAGTTTCCTAATTTAACAGAGGTTATGCATTGGAATCTGAAGGCTGTCAAAACGAGCGTCACAAAACAGCTCTGCAGGATATTCCTGCCGTTCCAGGGTACCCTGTCTGCTTTTAACATTTCAAGCTGTGCCAAGAACATTAAAGCCTCTAAATGGAAGAAAGCATGCACTTATCATCACATGTCAAAATCCATCCCAGAGATCCAAAAACATGTCTGAAAAATAATTTAGAACAGGGAAATAAACCATTGAAAATGTTAATTAAATGTTGATCTTGGATTATAATCTACTATACAGGCATTTGGTGAGCTATTTGTCAACTGTAGCATTACATCTTCAAAGATTTTTGGAAAGCATAAGCACACAGTTTCTTGTTCCTTACTTGCTGCTGCACTAAAGCCAATTCATAGCTATTGCAAATTCAAAAGTCCAATTTCTAACTTGAAATTCACAAATTCAAGTAGACAAGGCATTATTATTGGTTCCTGTTATTGCTTGCTTCAATGTCGAATTTAACCAAAAGCTGACTTTTAAAAAAAAATTCTCCTCGCAAAAGTACATTCCTGTATAAATTCACACACAGATTGCGGTGACTATTTAAAGCATGATGGGAAAGCTTTGGAATTCTCCTGCTAGACCACTACTGGAACTGCACAGCTACATCAGGTTTCCAGTAAGTACGTGGGGAACTTTCACTGGGCTGCACTGTTCTGGATTACACTGAAACGGTTGTGACAGGAGAGTGTGAACTCCTGTGGATGTCACAAAGATATCAACAGGAGGTGTTAATGGTGCCCTCATATGCACTCACTGTGTGTGTGTGCGTGCGTAACTGCACAGTATAGAGGCATTTAAGCACAGCCTGCATGTGAGATGGACAAGAGATGATCAACACCACTGACAACTGTGAATCTGCTGAATGCAACCGTCCTGTAAACTATATTAAGAGCAAATGTTTCAAATATGACCCACACAGAGCCTCTAAAATCCAATGTCACCATCATGACACAGATCTTTCTTTAGAACAGCAAAGATCTAGCTGGCTTGCAACTCTTTCTTTAGGACAGCGAATAATGGCTAATATACCGTAAAACAGAGTTGTAACATTAACATCATATTTTTGGATTAAGTGTTGCATATTCCATTTTTAAAACTGGCATTACCGTATTTAGAGCAATATCAGAATATAAATAAGCTGGTTAAAACAATGCTGTTCAGCAGCATTGCCACCTTGTACCCTTATTAGATCTTGGAAGCTAAAGAAGGCCAGGCCCTGTTCAATACTGAGAAGGGAGACTTCCAAGGAAAATCATGTTACAGGTGGCGCTGGTGGACCAGCAGGTGGCGCTCTTCCCTTCATACTTGTTTTAGGTCCCTTTTCAGGCCATCAAGGCTCATGGGGGAACTCCACTGAGGTGGAGGTGATGTGGTCAGCATCACACTCCGGCCGACCTATTACCCCTAGAAGGATTAACCCCCGGTACTCACTTGGAAAGCAGGCTGAGTGGACCTGGGAGCCGCCTGGAAGGAATTAAAGGAAGCTACATCGCTTGTCCCTACCCGGGATTGAACCCGGGATCTTCCAGTCAGGAGCTAGATGCCCCTGCCATCTGAGCTACCACAGCTCCCTTCCCTTCAGACTAGAATTTCTCAAAAAGATGTCCAAGTATAGTGACTGGAGACAGGGCACTGTAGATGTTACTGACGTCCTGACTGAAGATAAAACATTTCAAAGCTTTAGGGGTTTTATCTTTGAAGTTCGACCACGATTTCCACTCTGCAATCGAGTCCCCCGTTAATTCAGTGGTTGAAGAAATGTATCACTTCTATCGACCTGATCTACAGTGTTGAAGAGCTGCTGGTAAGCAATGGCTCCACCCAAGTGGATGGGTCCACCACCCATTTAAAGCTATTATTGTTAACTATTGGCAGTTTTTAATTATTTTAACTTTGAGGTAAAAAAATGCTAAATATTCAAGAAGTTATTGCTTTATTAGTTATTAAAATTAAAGACTTAAGAAAGTTAAGTTCCTTCTCAAGCCTTGAGGCTCACCCAGTCAGAGCTTTCTTTGTTCCAAGATTCTGTGGTGCTAAGCAGACCAAACGTATGATTTGTGCAAAACCTTATTATGCCATAACAAGGATATACGTCATTCTGTTAGTCAGCTTTACTTAGGAGAGCAGTCACAAAGAATACACAATGTTCAACAAAGATAAAGTAGGATAACCGTACATTTTGAGATATTACAGGAAGCTTCATTAACAGTTTTTATCAGTCTTTGATTTCTTTTGAAATGAACAGCCCAGAGATGTTCTTCAAAGGAAAATAATCCACATTTGTAATGTAACCACATTATTATTAAGTAACCACATTATTATAAGTACATCCAATTTGCACAAAAAAATTGTAACTGGTGTTGTAATCTCAATCTCAGAGTTAAAAAAAGAGTAACTGGTGTTGTAATCTCAATCTCAGAGTTAAAAAAAGAGTAACTGGTGTTGTAATCTCAATCTCAGAGTTAAAAAAAAAGTATTTATATGCCAACTATATTTCTGTTAACTATTGACGTCTTTTGGTGTTAAATGTAGCTGCTTGAGGGTTTTTTCTCTATTATTTTAAACCAGTACTATATTTACATTATATATACTTGCATAAGCAAGATTACATAGGATTTTAGATTCCAAACATGTCATATTTGATAGAAGCTAGACAAAACCTAACAACATGAAAATAACATATTGCAGATGTCGCTACACAATCCCTAAATTCCACAAAAATGATTTAAGAGAAAACACGTATTCTTCAAACACATTTCCTGATTGTTCTGCCCATTTTGGATTATCTAATCAAATTAGATAGTTCGCTTGTTTTGTCTTCTTGTTCAATGAGATCAACTTTGAGGTTAGTGCATGTGGTGTAATGTCTGCCATGTAACTTTTGTTTTTTCTTAAAATCTTTCATAAAACCATTTTCCAAAAAACATAAGACAAAGCCAGTCATTGGCATTCCCTTGTCTGTATTTACCAACAGTCTGGAAGTGAAAAATGAGCGCATAATTACAATAGGAAAGGAATCTCCTCTGCAGAGTTTGCATGTTTTTAGAGAAATTGCTAAATAAAAGTAAACTTACAGTACATTAACAAAGTAATAGAAAAGGATTTACATGATACAACTTGTGCTTTGTATAGTATATACCATATTATTTAATATGTTAACAAACTGTTTTTTTACATTAATAAGGTGGGGTATAGGTACCCTCTACATTTTACAATAAATCTATCAGTAGTCAGGAGATTAAAACAATAATCACATGGTCTTAGATCTCAAAAGTACCTACACAAAGTACTGATGGTTTTACATTGTGTGGTTAACAGGCTACAAATATCAGAAAAAACAATTTGGAATCTTGATCCGTAAGAAATACACCTGTTTTGATGGTTATTCCTACCTACGCAACAGAAATGAGCTATGACCCATTCAAGCTTTGTTGGTCTTTTTTTGGAATTGAGAGTTTTTTTTAGCCACTGCTCAGAACTGTTAAACCACTCAGAGTATGTACTGTGATGTGTGCCCATTCATCACTGTGTTTGAGCAGGAGAGAACTGTTTAAATCACTATAATGCAATACTGCTCACACATGGGACACAAATCGGGTCCCCTCATGCCCACCCCCCAAACGTCTAATACATAAGATATTCTGAGCATTTTGTCTGATTTTACATCCTTGTGTCATGTGTTCTATGTCTACAGAGAAGTAGTGCTTCTCTTAGTGAACTTCTAAGTGCAACTTGCTACACTGCATAGGTTAAGAGCTATGGGCTGGACCGGAAACAATTTGTCATCCTTAGTCCAACCTATAGCAATCCCTTGCAACAGCAACTATCTTTTCTTTATTACATATAAAAAGGTTCAGATCAACACAGAATAATTTAGGGTTCAAATCATAGGTTTATTCCAGGCTGAAAAGCAAAGAAAGAAAACACGTTTTGGCTATGGAGCCTTCTTCGGGTGTCAGGATTTTACATCTTCCACAGCTGAAACGTTGCTGTCTTCTCTTTTCAGCATGGAATAAACCTATGACTTGCTCCTTTGCAGCCTACGCATGCTGACACAGCTCCCCACCTGAACTACGTCAACAAAATTTAGGGTTCTTTTCAGATATGAGCAGTGCATTCAGTTTCAGGGGTTTGAAAATAAACATGGATATCTCTTACTAGTAAATCATCTTCAAAAACCTTACAATACAGTTCTTTTTCACTTTCTACACTGGGGTGTAATGGGCAAAATTCTGATATTTGTATGACGATGTGTTGTGATCTTTGTAATATGATTACTGGCTGTTTTCCTTCGCATATAAGAGTATGAAAAAT